AATGGAGTTCCCTTTGAATGCAAATTACAGAAAGGGTTTTTTCCCTGAAAATGCAGTATAGCTCAGAATGTGCTCCCTTCAGGACCCACTGTTCTTCCTGCTTTAAGAAGTCTTCTTTGTCACAACCTCCCTCCTCATTGTAGTTAAATGATAAACTCAACCTACCAACTGTTAACATTTGATACTGGGAGGGAGTATGAAGCGAATTCTGAATGAGCTACAGGTTGGCAGGAAAACCTGAAGGAAAACAGATGAATTGGACCACCACAAGAAGCTGTATAGAAAAGACCTGCTGGTGAGCGGTAGGGGAGCTCCTGAAGAAGGCACTCTTGAGCTGGGGAGTTTCCTGCTTGAGATCTTCAACTAGTTTCTTCAGAACAAACTCAGTTTTTATTTTTTCATATATCATTTTCAGTCACTACCAATTGTCTTGACAGTCAACATCTGTTAAATTAATCTCCTCTCCTCCCGCTTCTCATGGAGAGACCTACAGGAGATGGATTTAGTTATTCATTTCTATTGTCTTCCTTATGCTACTCTTCATTACCCAAGACCATATGGAAAACCCCTAAGACTTGAAGTTTCAACTCTGAAAATCCATGGGATTTTGCAAGAGATTTATAACCTAGTGCTCAGCAGGACTCACCTCTACAACAATCACAAAAAACTGGCTTTGAGAAGCAATGTTTTTAACCCTTTCCTCATCTTATAGTTATTCTTTTAGGGTCCAAGGTGTGCATTGCCTTGAAAACTAAGTCAAATTTGTTTATATACACACTCCAGAAAGAGAGCACAGCAACAGAAAATCTAGAGTTCTTTTCAAAAAACCCAAAGGAAAGCTACCAAGCCAGATCTTCAAAATTATAAACTACTGCCCTACCATTACGTTAAGCAGAGAACTAGCTGACATTATGCAGAAAAATTAATGGGAAAATGCAGTGCATGCATGTTAAGACAAGCCTGTCCCATTGTCAATCATACCAACTTTCAACACCCTTTAACAAATAAATGTTTTGAATTGTTAGTATGTGTACAATTTGTAAACAGTGATGATATATGATTAAAAAAATAAATAAAATTAAGCAATCCTTTAGACTGAAATTGTTTTTTCTAGGAGTAAAACTTCCCATCTGTTGCTCCACTAGCAAAACATCATCTTCCCAGAAAGTTTTCATAACAGACTCTACCAGGAGGCTGCAACAGTGAAGACTCCAAATGACTAATGCATTCAAGAGAACATTGTATGTACAGAAGCCTTTATACTGGAGACCAACATATTTCAAGGAGATGCTGCAATATTGTCTTAGAGTACACAGCAACTGCATGAGATTTGTCCGTCTGCATGGAAACCGATGTGGGAAGCAAAACACCAAGACATTTTTGTATTTGTTTTGTTAACTGAGCATCGTTAAACTAAATTCAACATGTAAGATGCAGTGTTCTAGAAATATAATACCCTTATAATCAAAACATATGCCAAGACATCATTACAATGGTATTCCAGGACACTGGAATTTGCAGCAGTGAGAAACAGAAATTGCTGTTGAAGCTGTTCCTATGGAGTACTTGGAGGCTAAGATCTGGACTGGACAACTTACCAGAGATGAGAAATGCCTCTTGAAGATGTACAGGAAAGAGAAATAGAAGAAAATTCCAGTGTACTACACAAGGAAATTTAATGGCATTGCCTCATCTACCTAAAGCCACATTACATTCTCTTGTGCAAAAAGCATGATCTATGTGCAGGTTTCTCAGTACAGGCTCCACTGAAATTCAGACTTGCCCCGGCCCAGGATGCATCTGCTCTTAAGGATTATTATTGTTTGGCTTAGAAATTTGTTCCACACGTTCTTCCTGAAAAGATTTATGACATTTTTACAATAATGCCAGTACTGTCTTGCCAGTGAGAATAGATTACTTGCCTTAATTTAAAAAAAAAAAAAATAGCTGATGTGCTTTTAAGACTGAAAATACTCTGGCTGTTTCCCTTAGATGCTAGTTTTCTGCTTTAGGTTCAGCAGCTTTTCACTGTAACACTGTGTATCATTCTTTAGCTGGGGTACTTTTCACTGTTGCACACTGAGGAAAAATTGCTTGTTAAACAGAGGAAAATGAGGACCTAAGGTGGATCCACAATAAAATATCTTTCAGGTATAATAGATCCTCTGCCCCCACTACTCCATGGCAGGAATTATTTTTAAGGATGCCTTTGGTCATTCTCGCTTCCATTCTCATCTTACTAAACACAGGTAGAAGTTTTAATAGGTAATCACTCAATAAAATATTCTGCTTGGGTTTAGGGTTGTATTCCTACAGTTCTAAAACTTGATTTATAACACCTACTGTGGTTTTCATCTTTTAAGGTCTCACTAGACTCCTGCTTTCAGCCCATTTTAACCTATACATCTCAGCCCTAGTTAGTAAATAAATTAAAATCCCTTTCAAGTTGCTAAATGCTGACAATCCACTATCCATTACTGCTGCTTCTGCCAGACTGATCCCTCCATATGCTCATTTGGTCTGCCATCAGAAATCAAATCCTCCTTCAAATTTAGCCTTTCTGAATAGCAATAAAATAATCCCATCTTTCATTTCTGCTCTCTTGCAAACTTCCAGATGTGACCCAGGCCTTGCCACTTGATAAACAGATTCAAATCTACCTTGAAACAGAACATGCAGCTACATTCTAGGCATCTCTCATGTTAATTACTGGAAACCAACCTTCTGTGAAAAACTTATTTTCCAATCAAAGCAGAACTGTTAAGATTCATTCAACACGGCCATTAAAGCTTTTCATTTAGCTTCCCTCACATGATTTCCTAGGGCTACATGAAAGAAATTTCTTGGTCTCTCTTTCAATTAAGGACTGCAAAATGCCACTCAAGCCAAGGGTACTTCTCTCACCTCCCTATGCTATTATTCACACTGGTTAGAGTCCCTCCCACACAGAACATCTCTTCCAATTCCAACCTTTATTCTCTTCTGAATTGTTTAGCCTCACCTTCCCACTAGAATCCCTGAACATTGATTAAAGTGAATTATGTATTCTCTCTCCTGTTCAGCAGAGGAGCCTGAGTTTAAAATTTTAACTACCACCTTTGTTTGGTTTATGAAGTGTATCGCATTTTCGTACCATTCAAGTCCTCAGAGATAGTCACTGCGACCATCTATGTGATTGAACTCTGTGATGCTCTGGAACATCTAGCATAAAATATAATGAACAACAGAAACTACAAATCCTCTTGGGTCTAGGCAGACCACATATATTTGATAGGGCTAGTATGAAAAACTGTTGCAATAAAAACAACGCATCTTGATCATTAAGTAAAAAATTGTTCAACTATTGTTATGAGGTGGAGAAATAAACACCAACGGCAAATTTTTCACCATCAGGTTACTTCTGTAGAACCCCACAGAATCAGGGATATTTAACACAAAACTACAATTTGGCATGGTATCTTTCTCTCCTTGACAAATGTAAAATACTGTGTAATTCTAATATCCAATCCTTTAATCACTTGCCAAAGTCATGCTATATAAAAACTATCCTCATGAGATCAACACTCAGCAATAACTCTACTTTGTTGTTAAGTTACTTGTGTAATCTTGACTAGAGAGATACTTAAATACTATTCAGAAGTTCCACATAATGATCTTACTGATATGTATTGTGTTCTATAAATCAACACAACATATTCACCACGCTGTGTCAGAGGGTTAGAGCTTTAGATTATTTCCTCATTAAAAAAGGATGTCCCTGATGGGTTTCAACAGGAATTATCTTCCAAAGTATTTCAGAGTTTTCAGTTATCAAGACTAAAATATAAGCACATTGATGGTTTAATTAAAGTAACGATGGTAGAGTGATAAACAATGAAGACAAGCCACATCTACAGGTGAATCCAACCCTTCTGTAAACCAGTCCCATTCAGACATCATTATACTTACAGGATGGAAGACCACATCCTGGAAAAGCAGCAGTTCTGAAAAGGACTTAGGAATCATGATGGATAATCATCTAAATTTACAATCTTTTAATGCAAATAACTGAGACTGAAAGATTTAAAAATGCAATCCTCGGAGGTATAAACAAACAAGCGAAGATATAAACTGAAAGGTTCAAGAATGTACCTGCACATAGTACACGCACACAGCAATACCCAAATCACTACCAGACGCTGTATGCAGACCTTCCGTCCATGCTTTTAGAATGGATTTTAAAACACCTGAAGTTTCAGAAGAGCTGAAAAAGCTTTACAGTTAGAGATTTAAGGAACTCCATCTACATAGGTTATTTAACATAGTTTTTATGTGAATAAAGTGAAATAGTTTAAAACTAGAGTAGTTATTTGTTATTCTAATAGGCAGCTAGCTATCTGATGGCCAGCAGCTGGAACTAAACAGTCCTAAAACTGAAGGAGAACTAAGAGTATGGAAATCTAGCTGAATCACTCAAGAGACATGGAAAAACCCTCACACTTCAAGAACCTATATGAAAATCAGCTATCTTTTTCAAAAGTATGTTCTACTGCACCCAAAAGACATGGAATTCATGATGCAGAAACATTTAGATTGAATTCAAGGAGTAATGGCGTGCCAGTCAGATTATTTCATGACCATGGTCACTTCTGGCCTTAACATCAGCTAGTCTGTAATAAGTAGAAAGCTGCAGTGCATATAAGAACATTCAAACTAACAGATGATAATATAAAGAACTCAAAAACTACAAGTACAGTCCATCAGAATCAAGCAGAGCTGTGTTCATACATCAATGATTTGTATACCTTGCTGTTTCAATTAAAAACTCAAAATTATCTGTTATGCCTCCAACTTTTACTTTCGTATTTTTAAGTCTGTTTCAATGTATCTGATATTTACATATTATAGTATAATTATACCTACCATACCATGGCTTGGAGTAGGTTAATTGCATAGGAAGATTTACTATGTTTACATTTTTTCTTAAATTACTCTTTTTTTAAAAAGCACAGTAAAGAGTCTGAGGACAAATTATTCAACTGTTTATCATACATAAGACTGCATGACTATAATACAAAGGGCTTGTCTTTTCATTTAACGTTACAATATACACAGCAAGTCCGGACTAGATCTTACAATCTGAACACAGGTATTTAACCTTTTCCATGCTGTTTATGTTTACAATGCACAGAAGTCCTGTAACCAAACTGTGTAGTAAAGCACACAAAACTGGACTGTAACATAACACAGTATGCAGAAGCACTGGATTTTATGATTTCTTCTTTATGCAGATTTTCTTTTTAACTGCTTTATTTTTTGGCGCTTGCTAAGGTGTGGCAACCCCCGCACACAGAAATTACCCAGATTTCCTATTACCCTTATATTCCTAGACAGCAGTAAGTACTGGATTCCTTTTTATATTGCTAAACTCAGCATCCTGTTTCTAAGGTGACAGCCTTCCAAATCCTGTAAACTTCTCTGAAATTACCGAGTTAAAAAATAAAACCAAAAATAAAACAAACAAATAAAAAATTCATCCACAGGGCTGACATGTCAATACAATAAAAAAAAATAAAATAAAAAAAAAAAAGATTGCTTGATTTAAAAAAAAATAATGATTTACAAGGAAAAAAATGGTTAATCCCAAGTATCCATTCCCATTCGCATGGTAGTCAGCTGCTGCACTGCCACTGTAAGTATAAAAAATTCCACCTTTTAGTCTGAAAGAATGACTTCGCTGCATGGAACCGACCAGTCTGAACTCTGAATTTTCTGCTAAATTAACTTTTAGAAGGGCTTACTGGCAGAGGTAGATCACTGCTTCTGCAATATATAATGGGCAAAGAATGTTAATCTGGGATGGGCAATCAATGAATTACCCTTCTTTCAAATGTTTTCCACGGAGCTTTTACTTTTCATTCAAACAAATCTCTGAATGGGCCCACAAATTTTGCAACTGCCAAGCTGACTGTGTTATATTAAGGCAGCATTACCCAAAAATTAGGCACCTGTTAAATACAGCCTGCTAACCTCAGGTCTCATGTGAGTGTTTTGCTTTACTCAGACTATTATTTTGGACCTGTTCATGCAATCAAGGTCTTGCCTTCAAGTTTACAATTATGTTAATAAGGAATACAAGAATCAACTGCTGGTTTCATAGCTTCTGGATCTAGTGTCCCTTTTACCTTCAGAAGCCTGAACACATTTATAATGTAACAGATGTTATAGTCTTGAAGTAGATGTCAATCTATTATGTTCAGTACACAGATTGCTGTAAATGTATTGGCTATGAATTCAACAACAGTTCCAGTTTTGTTTAAGCAATAGTACAGCCATAATTTTAAACTGACATTTAAAAATGGTCTAGTTACACCTTGTGTCAAAGTGCAGAACTGCTACATTATTGGTTACAGACATCTATGTGCTATAAAAACAGCTTTGGTACAATAAATTATCAAAAAAGAAAATAAATTTTTGTAAAATTCACAGCATAATTGTGAGGCAAAAAAGCAGTCACATAAAATTCTGCATTTTTAAAAATGTTCAGGATGAACAGAAGACGTCTTTGTGCAGAAGTAATGGTGGAGAAACCACGTGCCGAGAAAAAGCAAAAGAAAAAAGTAAAAAGCAGGAAGGGACACAGTTGTAGCTATTTCCATCAAACGCAAACCACTACTCCTGTGACCTTCAACCAATAAGGAAGTCAACTTTATGACACACGCAAAGTGACCTTGCAATACCTTACAATAAGTGGGTCACAAAAGTCTATTTTAAAAGAAAGGCCTCTTGAATTACCCATTCTCTGTGTTTTCAGCATTAAGGACTGTCTGCAAAAGCATGTCCAAAAGTGATTGCATCTGAAATGGTAGGCTCTTCTAACTTAAGAGTCCAAATCCATAAGGCCAAAGGTTATCCCAAAGACCACCACTTAGACCTCCCCAGGACTGGCCAGGACCGACCCGTTGATTGCTTCTCAGTGCACCTCAGTTATGAAACCAGTCATATTTCAATACTAACTGACTGTGGTCTCCCAAAATACGAGACCCACAGAATCCCATTACAATTGCTGCTTTGATCCTCAGTAGATTCAGAAAAGGAGAGTTCTGATCACCGCCACTTAGCATGCTCAATGTGCCTTACAAACTCCATTACAACCGTCCCTTTTTACAGCTGAAGAATATATATTTGTGTAATCTGAAGGTCCCTCTTTCTTACAGTACTGCATTTCTGTGCCCATGTTTGTCTGGGGAACTAAAAAAAATATATATATATTACTCACTCCCCTCCCACCCAAAAACTTCAAAGGGCCTTTTTATAAATCATGTGCAATGCCTTTAAAAAGAAACTAGTTTGGAACTACAACTAACATTTGAACAATAACCCCTGTTGAATGAGACCAAACAAAAAAACCCTCCCCAAAAAAACCAAACTATGACTATGTTGTGGCAGGTTAAAATGGGGGAAGCAAAAAGTGAATACCACTAAGCTACCCATTAACATGGGTCCAGACATGGCTCTTAAAAAAGAAAAACAACCAAAAAAAAAGAACAAAAAAACAAACAAAAAAAAAAAAAAAACAAACAAAACAAAAACCAAAAAAAAAAAAAAAAACCCAACAAAAAAAACTTCATTGTCCCTTTGCAATCTTTTCAAGTTTAAAAAAATAGTCAGCTTTGCCCTCCTGTAGCGGTTCAGTGAGTTTATCTCCTTCTGATTCAAGCAGCTTTGCACTTTGTTTTTGGAAAAACACCACTTCTATAAAAACACACAAGAAACAAACTTAGTTTCAGTTTAGTCACGAGCTAGCCACAGGACTTTGCTGAACACAAACTCCTGTCATGGGAGACTCTTCTCTATCAATTCCTTGCCTCATTGCAAGGTGTCCTTCAGTCATGTAATGAGCAGGACCTGTATTAGCAGAAAACTGGTATGTTGGATGTCCAGCTATGCCAGTTTCTTGGCGCGGATTAGAGTAGACTGTTAAATTCATGTCCATAGCTCCATTCTGTCCAAAGTCCAAGGTATTAGCAGCCACTGGGCGGTTCTGATAGGCCTGATTGCCTTGGTTACCAGTAGAAGAGGAAGATGTAGAGGAAGAAGTAGTTGAGGAAGACAGGGATGTCATGGAGTGGTGACTGTGGCCCACCTCCATAGAATCCTGGGTGGAGGAGCTGTTTGTTGGAGAATTGTAGACTCTTGGCCTGGTCCGGCTACCCAAGGCTTGCTGTCCATGATGGTGGTGGTGGTGGTGGTGATGGTGGTGGTGGTGAGCGCTATTTCCGTGATGATGATGTAATGCATTCTGTTGTTGAGGGGTTACATGGAAGGTGGTTTCTTGAACTGGATGGTTTTCAACAGTGACCTGTGTAGGAGCTTCAGTGGCTGTCCAACCAATTGGAGGAGGAAACTGTTGTCGAACCTATGTTAGTTAATAAGCAAAATAAAAATTAAAATGCTTACTTGAATCTGTCCATTTGCAATATACGAGAGATATTAAGATATTATGCTAACTTTTAAAAAAGTTAAAAAACCTTGTAGCCGCAGAATTATTCTAGAAGTGGAAGCATGCAGTTACAAAGAGTCTCTAATACACTTTTCTAAATATACCTTAAGAAAAATGAGTTCACTTTCTGGATGTTTTTTTCGAACAGTTTAAGTAAGTGCAATATGTGACCTTACTGTGAAAGTCACAGAAGCAGCTCTACATAATAGTAGTAATAAACAACATAATATTTGTACAACCCTTAGAACAATAAGGCCCTGATGTCTGACCCGGGTCTCTGGATACAGTAAGCATACCAAGCTAAATTAGTATGTTGTAGTTCGTATCTTGAGTAGTGTCAACAGCATTCGAGGAGTACCACCACACCTCTGGAAGAACACAGGCGATTAAAGATTCCTAGCTACACATCAATTTGTTGCATAAACTAAACTGACGACTTAGGGACAATTTATATTTGTATCCATTCTGTACTAAAATAAAAATATTACTGAATTATTTGTAGTTAATGAGTTGCTGCTTCTTTCCAACAAGTACTGAATAAACTCTAGTCCATCAACGACAATGTTGGTGAAGTACCCAAACACCATAAAATAGAATTAAGAACTCCAGCAGGAGTCCACTGAAGTACAAGCTTGTTCTCCACTGAGTTGGAAGATGCATAGTTCTGTGTACCCTTACAACCTGTGCAAGGTGAAGCACTGACAGCTCCATCTGACTTACTGCTATTAATACAAAACCTTTACTACTACAGAATCTCTGAAAATTTTTACAGCTACCTGCAGTAAAGTGACTGACCTAACATACAAACAACTACATAAGAGCTAGTTCTGTCTACATGAGTTCAATCTTGAGATGAAAGCGTTACTTAATTTATAGGGATTTAATACTTTAATATTCTCAGAAAAGTCATATAAAGCAAACAGACAAAGCTTTACATAACCATACCTGTGGGCTGTGTGTTTCACAGTCCATAGCTTGAACAGCAGCAGTGAAGTGTCCACCACTATGTCGATGCTGGTGTGTGGGGTCTGACCGTGCCCTTCCACTGTTGCTTGTTCCAGAAGATCCACCTATAAAATCAGAATATGCACAATAACTAAGAGACACAAAACTTAAAAGTAACCTGTAGAACAGTGACAGCATGAAAATATGTAAACTGTTTTGAAGTAAAAATACAAGACCTGTAATAACCATTCACATTTTGGCTCATCTATTTTCTGCTTTTTGTTGGAGCAGTTACCTGTTCCAGGCGATTAAAGTAATCGATGAGCATGACTGATGTATTTGATTTTTAACCAAAAATAAAGAGAGAATATTTATCTGAAAAAGACTCCTTAGATGTGATTAACAAAAATAATTCTGTTATCCGTTAATGTGAAAAATTTACCTGAGCTTGAAGATGTACTAGAGGTGGTTCCTGAAGACTGTGACTGCTCCATGGCAGGACTAGTAGACACACTGTTACTTGTGTTTGTACCTTCGTCTGCTGTTTTCTTAAAGAAACTATGCTGTAGGGCATAATAAGGTTGAATTCGTGTCTTAGGGTCATAATCAAGCATCCTTAAGATGAGGTCTTTGAACTTCAAGTAGTCAGCTACAGTATGACCCGATTCCCCAGCACGGCGTCCACCTGGTCCTCCTGTTTCAACTCCTAGTATATTGTGAAGTTTACGAGTTCCTGGTGGTTTGTATTCCTGTTGGGAGGTTAGAAATTGCTTGAAGTCAATTTATATATTAAGACTTGGATGTGCACAGTGTAAACATGCCATAAAAGCAAGTCAAATAAAAGTAAAAAAATATTTAATGCTACGGAATGTGTTATTTCATTAATCTGTCTTACAATGTGGAACAATTAATTAAAAACAATAAAGCTGCATTTTCAGTAAGGCAAGATGTAAAACAAAGTAACATCTCACTTTTTTTTCTTATTATTATTAATTTTATTTACAGAAACTGCCAATATTATCGTCCTCATTATGTAACCTACCCTTTTTCCATCTTTGGTCTTCTTCAAGTTCCAAGTGCTATCTGGCAACTTCTCAAAGAACTTTCTTGCTTTTGGTGCTTGGTCAAGGATGTGAGTGGGTGGTATCCCCAGAACTTCCACTATCTTATTCATTTGATCCACCTGTTCCAAATAAAGAAATTTTGTGAGGAACATATGACAGAGATGAGCAGTGTGACAGAGTGAGATTCTCATCACACAGGAAGCAAATGGAAAAAAAAAACAGACAAGTTCTAAATTAATTGTGAGTTTAAAAAAAAATAAATCCACTGTGTACAGAGCAAATTAGTGTATAAGGAGTAAGAGAGAGGACCCAGAAACAGAAAATTATTAACAGGCAATTTAGAGTTCTGACAAAAGACACTGTTGTCACTGATGTTTATTCATTTTAGAATTACTAGACTTCCCTAATTTATGCATTAGAACTAAACAGATGAAACTCATAATGAGAATGAAGAAAAACAACAACAAAATATAATTACTTGTACCGTAATATATCTGCATACCTCATTTGCCCCGCTAAAAAGAGGCTCTCCAGTGTGCATCTCAACTAAAATACACCCAAGGGACCACATATCAATTGCAAGATCGTAAGGCATTCCCAGTAGCACCTCTGGTGATCGATAAAAACGACTCTGGATATATTGGTATATCTGAAATAAAAGCATATAAAGGTAATAAACAGCATCCAAAGAGCACTATTATGATTATGTATTACAAAATAGAGCTACCGTGAAATACATTTTTGGTGTAGGGAAAGCCAAGGTATCAGTGATACTAAAAAGCATCTAGACATTACATTAATAAAAATACAAAAAATGCTAGTTAGTTAATTCTTTCTAATAATAACAGTTCACAGTGTGTTCACCCTCCCAAGGAAAAAAAGTGCAAATTCACTCATGATGTCAGTATTTTACATTTTAGGGTTGATGAGTGTAACCTCATGCAGTTATAGATAATCGTACAAAATTTTTCTCTGCTATCACCCTAAGAAGAACTATTCCACAAGCCAAATCAGAATCACGTAACACTTCAGACAAAACTGACAGCAAAAGATCAAAAGCCAGGATTCTGATGTGATGAAATCAGACGAAATTATCAGGTGATTCTAGGAACTAGAAAACAACACATCGGAAAAAGCAACTCCCTTCCACCACTGCTTAGTTATCCTGCTCATTTCACAAGACACATAATTCTATCTTGATTTTAAACTTGGAGACTGGCTTAAACGTAGGTATACCAAAAAAACACACCAAAAAAAACCCAACAACCCCCAACCAAAAAACAACCCCCAAAGCAACCAACCAACCACAAAAATAAGGGGGGAGGGGGGACGAAGAAACAATCCCACCCAACTCCAAAACCCTTAACAAAAAAGAACCAAACAAATAACACCCAACAGAACTGGTCTTCATATTCTAAGTAACATGCAATTTTATCCAGCACTTTCCACAAAGCTACTGGTATTTCCCTACTGGTTTGTAAATTAACTTAAATGAATTATTACCATAGGGGTGTGTATTTCTGCTTTTTAACATCTCAAAATTATCTCATTGACCTACATAATCCAGATCTCATTTCACCTCCTGGTGTCTCCCTTCACCCCAGACTAAGAAGCTTCTAGTTTATAGCAAAAAAGTCCCCCTGTTAATCTACATATGCGTTTCATCACTGCTTTCAATACACTAATCAATATTCCAAGCTGTTCTTCCCAAACTTATGGGGCAAAAGTGATGGGATGCCACTGGCCAGTCCTGACTCCTCAAGAGAGAATTGAGGGCCTTCTGTTAAAGCTGGTCCATGAAACTTCTTAATTCTTCTCATATCCCATCTACAGTATTACTAGTCCTACTTCTGAAACTTCATACCTTTTGAAAACGCTGCATAATTTAGGGAGTTTTTTTTGTCTGGTTTGTTTGGTTTCTTTAACATGCAGCTTGCTCAAAGGAAAAAGATACCATCCACAACTTTACAGGTAAAACTGCCAAAGGTACACAACAGGACCTGGGAAGGCTCAAAATCCTTTTTTTTTCCGAAGAGACTGGAGTCTAACTTTTATAGACAGAAGTCTTCCTTACCTCTCCAGCTAACAGCTTGTTATCAAACAACTAAAGCAAAGGTACCCTGAACAGAAATGGTCACTTGCTCAGCTGAACAGAATTCTTTCAACCAGGAAAGAATTTACTGTAAGGTGAAAGCTGAACAGGACATCCTGGTAAACTCTGCAGCGAGCAAATTGTCAGTACAAATCAAACACTTGAGTTACATATGCAAAGCTCTTCCTAAAGAAAAGAGGCTTTGGCATCTGTCGTGGTTTAAACCCAGTCAGGTAACTCGTTCACTCACTTCCCCCTTTTTCTTGCCCTCCCCCTGCTCTCGGAGGGACGGAGAGGAGAATCGAAAAGAATGCAACTCCCACGGGTTGAGATAAGAACAGTTTAGTAACTAAGGTATAACACAAATCACTACTGCTACCACCAATGATAATAATGATAAAAGAAATAACAAGGGAAGAGAATACATCATCTCACCACCAGCCGACCGATAACTCGCCCCCCCCCCCCCCCAGCCCGACCAAGCTCCGACCGATACCTCCTCCAACCCTGCAGTCTCCCAGCCCTTCCGGCTAACTCCCAGTCACCTCCTGGGCATGACGTGCTGTGGTATGGAATACCTCTTTGGCTAACTTGGGTCAGGTGTCCTGTCTCTGCTTCCTCCTGGCTCCCCCTCCTCCCTGGCAGAGCATGAGGCTCACAAAGTCCTTGGCCAAACCAAAACATCGCTTGTTATCAGCTCTGTTCCCGAGCTGAAAGTCAAAACATTGCACTGCACCAGCTACCAAGAAGGGGAAAAATGACTGCTACTGCTGAACCCAGGACATTATCCACCCCTTATTCCATACCATTCACGTCATGCTCAGATCCCACATTTTCAATATACCATCACTCTTATCTCAGTGCACTCTTATCTTAGTGCATGGACCAGTCCCTATAAAGCTGCTGAGTCCATCTGGTCCATGATGTCAGGCTCCATCTCTTGTAACAGTCTTCCAGAGCAGGAGAGACTGTGTGCAGTGTTCACACTCGTGAATAACCTGGGCAATAGTGTCCATTGCTAAGTCCACCCCTCGATCATGAGTCCATCTCTGTGTTGCATCTCTGCTCTGATGGCCTGAAGTGCATTGGGCCCACCAGGCTCAAAATAATTCACTGTCCCCTTCAGCAGTTTCTGCAGCTTGTTGCTGGGGACTCCATACAGCTGCCTTCCATCTCCAATGCTTCCAAAGCACTGGAGGGGCCCAGTGGACTAGATACTTGCCCATACTGTCCCACACACCCTGCCACTCCTGGCTGTCCAGCCTTGGGGAAAACCTCTTGGTCCCCCCATATCCTCGTCTAACCCCAGACAAGACCCAAACCTGACTCTGCTTAACTTTTGAGATCAGACAAAATGGTCGTGGGTAGAACACAGCCTGTGTGTGTGCCAACATGCTGATCCCCATCACAATCAGCAGGCAGGTACCAAGGACACCCAAAGGCCATTCAAAACCTTCAGAACTCTCAACTGATGCTGCTGTACTTGTCACTGGGGCTGGTGTAGCTGCTGTACTTGTCACTGGGGCTGGTGTAGCTGCTGTACTTGTCACTGGGGCTGGTGCAGCTGCTGTGCTTGCCGGCTCTCCCACCGCCAGCTTCTCTTTTCCTGAGTCCAGCTCTTCCTCCTCTGCCTTGCTGGGAAATGCTGCGTGGTCTCCTGCATCCTCCTGGGGCTCGGCGGGCGGCTTCCGGGAAATGCTCTCGGCCGTCGCGGGGCTGGGCTCGGCCGCGGGGCTCGGCTCCTCCGCCGCCTTCTCCCGCTGCTCGGCAGCCGCCTCCTTCTGCTCCTCGACCGCCCCGACCTCCTCCACCGGCAGCCGTCCCCTCGCGGCCTCCGGCCCCGCTCCCGCCGCCGCTTGGTCCCCGGGGCCGCTCTCCCGGGCCGGTTCGGCTGCCGCCGGCTCCCGGGGCCGCTCCCCCTCAGCTCCCCGCAGCCTCACGAAGATGGAGAGTAGGGTGAGGGCCAGGACGGTGAAGAGCAGCCGGACGGCCAGGTACAAGTCCACGGCCACGTCCGTCCCGCCCTGCTGCTGGAGCCCGCCCGTATTACAAGCCATTGCCATAAAGCACAGTGAGACAAGAACCTTAGCCCAAGCCCCATACTTGATAAACACTATCACAGCAAATACCGGCTCTACGTAAGTTACAACATTCTGAAGCTGTGAGATCAAGCGAAACAACTCTGAGAGCCAATAAATCAGCATTGTGACGAGTGACTATTAATCCAGTCAGATCTGTCGTTATCTCAACCCTTCGTGCCCCACGTTGGGCGCCAAAAACGAACTGTCGTGGTTTAAACCCAGTCAGGTAACTCGTTCACTCACTTCCCCCTTTTTCTTGCCCTCCCCCTGCTCTCGGAGGGACGGAGAGGAGAATCGAAAAGAATGCAACTCCCACGGGTTGAGATAAGAACAGTTTAGTAACTAAGGTATAACACAAATCACTACTGCTACCACCAATGATAATAATGATAAAAGAAATAACAAGGGAAGAGAATACATCATCTCACCACCAGCCGACCGATAACTCGCCCCCCCCCAGCCCGACCAAGCTCCGACCGATACCTCCTCCAACCCTGCAGTCTCCCAGCCCTTCCGGCTAACTCCCAGTCACCTCCTGGGCATGACGTGCTGTGGTATGGAATACCTCTTTGGCTAACTTGGGTCAGGTGTCCTGTCTCTGCTTCCTCCTGGCTCCCCCTCCTCCCTGGCAGAGCATGAGGCTCACAAAGTCCTTGGCCAAACCAAAACATCGCTTGTTATCAGCTCTGTTCCCGAGCTGAAAGTCAAAACACTGCACTGCACCAGCTACCAAGAAGGGGAAAAATGACTGCTACTGCTGAACCCAGGACAGCATCCAAGCAGAATTATTTATGATCTTATTTATGATTTTAGTATCTTGATAGTACTGTATATATTTTAACATTTCCTCAAGCAAATAGAAAGGAAATTGGCTATGCTGGGGAGATTCTAATAGCTCAAATAAAAGCATGTACTCATCTTCAAAGTACATGAGCAACATGACACAATCACAAATTTTTGGTCAACTATTTAGTAATACAGATCTATCCTAATATGAAGAACTGCTGACAGAAAATGATTTGGCCCTTTGTCCTGGAAATGCTTTTCCCATATGCATCTTTATTCATACTAATACCACCACTAAACTCAATTCAGTCTTTCCACAGTTGCTGAAGCGTTTGTAAAAATGGTTTAGTAACCAGTTATCTTTAAAAGCCAGCTTCTGCACTGTCTCAACCCTCAAATATCTTATCTCTAAGGCACACTAAATGCTAAAGTGGGAGGAGTAATATCTATGAAGAAAAAAAAATATTTATTTACTAGCACTGCAGACTTCTACAATCAAGTGCTGATGCATTTTGCACTAACATAGCATACAAATATAACCAAGAAGAAAAGAAAGAGGGGAAGTTTATCACTATGGTGAAGGTTTAACTACTATGGAACTAAACCTCATATTTAAGGCTCCTGTGGTTTGTTGATGTCTAAAACCCTATGTAAATATTACCTGTATTTCACTTAAATGATTATTAATAAAGTTTAAGTTACCCATCTATATATTATGATTTTTTACATATGCACCCAACAGTAGCATAAACAGAATTTTTACTAATACTCACCCTCTGTCCAAGCTGACATGAACTGCCAAAATCAACAATCTTGATAGCGCTTCGTTTGGGGTTACAGAGCAGTATATTCTCAGGTTTTAGGTCACAGTGAATGATACTAAGTTCAGGAGTCGCCAGAAAAAGCAGTGCAGTGCACATCTGCTGTGCAAATTTTCGTGTCAGGTTCAGTGAGACGCCTCTGAAGTTGGTGTTCCGCAACAGATCATACAGATTGTAGGACAGCATTTCAAAGACCAAGCAGAGATGGTTTCGGAACACGAAGTGGCGCTTCAAATGTACTTTAAAAAGGGGAAGAAAATAATTAACACATATCCTGTGTCTGCTAATTACAACACAATGCTTAAATATATTAATCAATATGTAAGAAGCTGAGCTGTAAGATAATATAGTGTTACTTTTTTTTTCCCTGGATCTATGGTTATTTACAAAGTATTGCTCCCGTGCCTGAAGTGCAGGGGGACATTTTACACATCTGAAGCGTCCTCAAGTGTACCTCAGGAAAACTACATTAACCAAAGTACTTCTGTCTTTTAAGTAGTTCTATTTTTTCAACATAAGCTATCACTCCCCTATTAGAAAAGGCCAATGCATCTTTGGGTAAATAGAAGGATCAGCAAAAAAGACAAGAAGCGCAAACTGTGTAACACAAGCTTTGTCACAACACTTTTGATCTTTTTCAAGGGAGAGCTCATTTTTCCATCCTCCTAAAGCTAAAACTGTATTCAAGTCCAAGCTGACTAGAAGAAGTGCACATACAGAGGTATTCTCAACAATAAAGCAGATATTGCACTTCAGACTGAATTATTTATTAGGAATTTCCCTTATGTTTATAGAGAAAATATCTGTCATATTCATTTAAAATATACTGACATTACTGCAATTTGTATGCTCTGATTTCAATTACTTCGATTAATAAAACTGATCAATATCCATGGGCATTGTATTCATTTCAATCAAGCAAAATCTCAGTTTATGAAAGCAACCAATCTAGTCCAAATCCACTCCATTTTTTACATGACACAGGTGAAAAATTCACCACATGAATCTGTTTAAAGGCAAGCAGGATTTACTAGTCTGTCAAGCATTCACGTTGGTTGCCACAAAAAAACTACAAATGAAATACGAAAAATACTTTGGCTCTCAGATAAAAAGCAACACATGCTCCTTTTTGTTATAATAAAATCCTCAACCAGTATTAGCACAATGGGGATTCAGACTTTCAGTTAAGGTTATTACTTGATGTCCTATGCCAGTTCTTTATGAGTCCCTTACAACTTACTTCTAACAGTACAATTTGCTTCCAGCCTGATGCCAGTTCCTGCAATACCTCATTGTCTAGACCTTTCATATTTTCTCATCTTTGTCATAATTCCACTATCCTGCACCATGAAAGCACCAGCACCTTTTCTTGTGGTCTTCCTACACTTGATTCCAATACCTCCCTACACCACCTAAGCTTGCTGGAATCACTACTTACTCCAACTGATTTGTAACTACCAGCACGCTTCTGGCCAGCTGCAGCTGCCACACAGCTCAGCCTGGATAAGAGCTGAACTTGCCATATCTTCCCTTCAGTGAAGACATGAAATTTGAACATTCCTCCTCCATCTCTCTGCCATAAATTTTCACAAAACTTTAAGACTTTAATGCACTCTTACACGTGTGTTAGGTTTAGTCTGAAGGAGACCAGTCCGGTTTGAAGGTACTGAAGATCTGACATTAAGTGTAAGCAATTGAATTCATGTTCCTAAAAATCAAGCTACAATGTATTTAACCATGTTCTCTCCAAAATCTACACTTTACATTACACAGTATATTGAAATACTTGCAATGCTTTCAGCCTTTATTCAGCTTTTCCTAGCATCATGTATCTGAAAGACTAGGAGAGGGTGAAATGTCCGTATGTCCTACTGGTAACTTACTTTTTACATCAATATGCTGTATGCTTTAATTACATCTCGTTACAAAAGTATGTTCATAAACAACTGTTCCTATGCTTAGATACATCTTCCAGCGAAGTGCCTGGAGATCTCAGTTTTCCATGATCCATATTTGCACAGCATGCAGTACAAGGTATTTATTAAAAACATTATCCATTTGGGATTTTTGATCTTTACTGATGCTGTCATGTTCATTAATACGGTATTAACTGAAAGGGAAGCTATTCAAATATACCCTAAGAGACTTGAAAATCAGCTTGAAACAAGTCTAAATCACCTACCTAAGCAAAGGTAATATTTATTATTCCTCCACTGTTCAAAATTATACTTTCCCCCCTCCTCCCCCTTTTCTTTTTCAGCGCTGCTCTCTATGTAAAGCCATCCTGAGATTATATGATGTTTTGGTCCATTTCGTTTTACCTAATATTACAAACAGAATCTCTAACAATTTAAAATTCCAAGAGCTTATTTGATGAAGCTGTAGTGTCTTTACTTGCTGTGTATTAATATGAAACTGGTCATGACTTCAATGTTCCTAAAACACCTTTCCAACACTGTCAACTTCAGATTTTAAGCAAACGTTATTAATAAATGTAAGTTAAAAATACCTTAAAAACTTCTACACTGAATACATAAATGTACTGTGAATATATTTTATAAAACCAGTGAAAATTCAACTGAATACTCATCAGATAACTTAGTATCAATGCATATTAACATTATTTCAAAGGTTTCTTTCTGCATTATAGAAAGAAAAAATAGTAATCCAATACATATATATACAAATCAGAAAGCAGAGCTGTTCGTATTTCAGCTTCTACAAACTAAAGAATGATTAAAACCAGTTTCAATTTCCTTAATAACCTTTTTCATATTTCTCCATCTCTTTTTACAACATGCTGTTGCAGTCCTTCCATCATGTCTTTTCCAAATTCTCCACTCCAGAGCATGGAAAGGATTTAGTAAACTTTTACACGAACTGACTTAATTTCATCATTATTATAAAGTTCACCTAGCAATATAATAGTAAGTCAAGGGAACACCATTCCCATTTACAGGAACTATCAAAATTATAATCTTCAAAGTATTTTCTGGGCTATGAATTCCAAACCTTAATATTTACACACGTCTTATCTTAGTTCTGTTATACAAAATTTTGAGATTTTTAATACATACACTCAAAAAATAATTAAGCTAGCCATAAAACTACTGTATGATGCTGATTTATGTTAAATAGCATGTTTTTATCCATGACAGTTCTAAGATAATAATAAAATATATTCGAAGTAGTGAAAGTGATTGCAACTACCACAGATCACAGCTTCTGTGGAAAAGCCAGTCCACAGCAACTTCTTCAGGTGTCCATATCAATAACTGGAAAAAGAAAATACTACAGAAGATCTCAACGCTACAAAGTAACAAATCTGCTACCGCAAATGATTTTATGTATTTCTCTTCTGGATCTTGTCCTGTTGCAAAGCAAACTAGAAAATTTGCACCAAATATATATTACTGATTTTAAAAGTTATATATTATTCGTTTTGTTTCTTTAGCACCAGAAGCCTCCTACACTATATAGCAAGACTAAAATATGCATAATTGAATAAAATTAAAAATTCAGAACTATTCAAATACCTATATAGTACTTCATCTCTGTGTCATGTTTGTTCATAAGCTCAAGCAGTCGCACTTCAATCTGGGCTTGGTTTAAGAAAGCCTTCTTGTTTTTTATTATTTTGATAGCCACCCACTCCTGTTCCACTCGATCATAAGCCTTTACAACCTGAAAGAGAAAAGTCAAACATATCAGTAAAACCTCTCTAGTTTTAAAATACAGCAAAACTCACTCTCTAAACTTTCTTCAATTTCTGAATTCAGAGAAAATATTTCTAGAACTTTTGTTCTTGCCAACTAGATTACTTTTATTATTTTACTTCTCCTACTTGATACTACAGTAAAGCCACAATAAATGACGTGATGATTATTGCAGTGATGTCACAAAACAGAACTGAGGCTCCACTGAGCTTCACTGAGGCAAGCATTATATCTAAATGCAATTATCAAATCATCAAATACTGTAAAACAACTGGCAAAATCTGAGAAAAACTAACAAAAGCAACAAAAGTTTCATGCTGCTTCCAGCCTTTTTCTCAAGCATTAGCTACAGCTACCAACAGTCAAAATAAATGCTAGTAAGTAACATTTATAGTAGGTAATCCCTAGCACTAGGCTATTGTTTTAATTTAAACCTCCAAACCAAACAGCTAAAAATGTAAACTGATAGCAAAAGGCTGAGGAGTTGCTCACTGCAAAATGCGTTACCAGATGTACATAACAAAGTATATTCAAACATTATCTGCAGTAACAAGAACCAGCACAAAATGTGTCTCGAGCAGGCACTTGGTGTAATAGGATTAAGAGTTTGATTTCAAAATGAACAGGAATAACACTTCAAATGAAATGCATATTATGATTCACATGAATTATAGGTTGTTCAGCAAATACACATTACCTGTCCAAAGGATCCTTTGCCTATTAAAGAGTCAATTTCGTAACGATCCATCCACTTCTCTCCATTTTTCACAATATAGTCATAGTTGTCATCATCATAGCCATCATTGTAAACTTTTCTCTCCTTTTTGTGACTGGAATCTTCTCCTTGGCCCTGTTGATGCCGCCGTTTTTTTTTTGCATAGTAAACCTAAATGTGAAAAGCATATTACTTAAGAGCACTTTTTAAAACATTGGTACAATAAAGAATAGGATCATCTTTTATAATTATCACACTTAATCCTGTGATTTTAATATGCAACTTTTACTACTGGAAAAATAATCAATCTTCTCTTGCTACCTGTCTATTTGAACTCGAGTCATAATACCAAAGCAAAGTCCTGATGAATAATTTTAAAACTCAGAAAGGAGATCTAAATAAATGTACTAGAAACACTGAACCATACAGTTCATAGCTGCAAAAAAGATACATAGACGCACAGCAAAATTAAAAACTATTAGTGGCCTAGAAAAAAGAATTATCAGTTGCTTTTCCACAAGACTGGCAAAGAAGTATTCCAAGGACATCAGTAATCACTGCAGAAATCCTTTCACATTCCCTACAATTTCCAAGGAGTTAGAAACTATATTAACCCTGTAATTTTTATACTTTACATTTGCCAGCAATATTTAATTAAATAATTTGGGATATTTAACTTTCATATTTTTCTTACAAGTCTTTAGACACATTCATAAAGGCTTATAGCATGATCTAGAAAAGTATTTCCTTATCATGCAACAGAAAAGCTCAGCATTTGTTTATAAAACAAGGGAAAATAAATTCAAGGATGAAATATTTCCTACGTGCTAGACAGAAAGCAGGATCATAACATCAGTGATCTCCAATGACACGTGAACAACATAGAGAAAGCTTGGTTTCCCTTATCTCTTTGTGAGATAATTAACAGAAAATATACTTAGTAATGTATTGGAAGCAAAACTTTCATATCAATACACATTACAAAGACAGCTGGAGCCATTACCTCATTAATATGCTTGTATGTTTTGATCAAATCTACGGAGAGCTTCCTCAAGGGAGCAGTGGCTGGATCTCGGAAAGTTTGGGGCATCCGCCTCTGTAATATGACCATTATCATAACTTAGAAAACAAGTTAGGAATTTAAGGATATAATTACTACACTAAATTGCGATATTCCTCACAGAAATGACCTATTTCATTACAACATTTTTTCTTCAAGCTAACATTAAAAAAAAAGAAAAATTAATACTGGAATCAAAAGAAATTATTTTTTTTTAATATATTTAATTAATAAAGTAAAAAAGAAAGAAATCCCAAGACTTCTATCTCTCCTCCTGTTATGCCTAACAGGCTTAATCCCAATAGTTTTTCTCTTGGTTAAAATACAACTCTTTTGTTGAGAATCTTGCTCATATTACTCCTATCTCATGACTGATACATGAATAGTAACCATATTTCATGTATAGCTGCATTAAAACCGCAGATAGAAGTTAACAGTAGTAACTACTGCAGAACTGTGGCATTTTGCCACATCTAAACTGTATAAAATTCAAAACCAAGCCACCTCAGATCTAACATGCTCCATAACATCCAGGCCTAAATCTAAATCTAAAACCCAAAGAAAATGTGAAGAAATCTAAGGAATGAACATGAGCCCCATACCTACTTTTGAAGTTTTAAAACAACACCCCTGAAAAAGTAGTTATGTTCCTCATCTGTGTTTCCTACAATTGACTGTGTTGGCAGAAAATATCTTCAATAGCATGCTATTAATTGGTTTCATGAAGAAACAAGATTCATGTGTGATAAATTCACTAGTGTGCTTCTTTTTCTTTGCACACATATGCCATGTAAATTCTGCATCTACCAAGCAACTTCTATTCCTCTGTTAAGATTTGTTTGAAATCTCAGAAGATGAAGCTCCTGGAAAGACAGTTCCAAGTGGCAAGCTGAAGGCGAGCAACAGACCCAGAAAAGAGAAGGCAGAAAAAACTAACTCATGAACCATTTCATTTGGCTAAAGCTAACTATCTGCTCACTGGACGCTTTACTTAGCAGCACAGCTGTAGCAGCAGACAAGCTCTATCAACTCCTCTATCTCACCCAGTGGCAGGGATGGGGTGGCAGGGATGGGGAGCTAGGAGATAGAGGTGAGGCTAGTGTTACTGGTCCCCAAGCCTACACCTCTATTCCTTCCCTTCCCAATAACAGAAAACCACTGGGCAAGTTTAAGCAATTCCACTGGAGAAAAGCTTATTTCATTCGCTATGAGGGTGGTGAGACACTGGAACAGGTTGCCCAGAGAAGCTGTTGCTGCCCTGTCTTTGGCAGAGTTCAAGGCCAGGTTGGACAGGGCTTGGAACAACCTGGTCTAGCGGAAGGTGTCCCTGCCCATGGCAGGAGTTTGGAACTAGATGATCTTTAAGGTTCCTTCCAACCCAAACCATGCTATGATTGTTATGTATGGTAAAACAATTTATATTTCTTTACTCGCTACTAAGAGGGTTAGGTGACGGAGCATCACCACATTCTGCCTTACAACTCTCATCTCATGCCATCAAATATGCTGACTGCTCATAATTCTTCACTTCTAAATGCTTCATCTTTCTGCTGCCTCCTGGTACAGATAAATACTGACATGCAACCTCCTGCAAAGCTGAGGAAAGATCATGAACCATCAACAAAAATAATGAAACTGAGTTTTATATCACTATTGCTTAACTAATAAATCAACCAGAAAAGCGTAACTGCTCCTCTGCCTTTTATGGTATTTGTTACTATGTACTGAAGTGGCTGTGCAAACACCTTTTTTTTCTTTTTTCCCCCTTAATGACCAATTAACAAAATCACATTGAAGTGACTCAATTCTTACAAATAGAAGCGACAAGAGTTTCTGCTTCTGAGACTGGACCTGGACTCAGGTACCCAAGCAACCATACTAGAAAGCTAAGCTCACATCCTCCTCCAGTGGAAGCGCAGACCAACATGGGGGTAAAAACCTAAAGCAGCGAGCAAGACCGAGGATGAAAAAGTGACAGAGCTAAAGACAGAGGGGGAAGGTAAGACACTAGCAGTCAGTTTACTGCATCTGTGTGAAGCTGAGACTCCCAACAGGTACAAAGCTGACTGCTCCCCAGAAACAGCAATTCAAAGCTTTGGTGCACCCCTCTCCAAATACACCCACAAAACGTTCTTATACCCCTGCAAAGCTGCTGTCTTGTGGTCTTTTTGATTAGGAAATGCTTCTCAGAGACAATGTAATACAGTTAAACTTCCCTCCGGGAATTCTAACCCAAGTCATGCCCTAGGTGTTTGTTCCTGTCAATTCACCTTTGGATGTGCCCACTACCATCAATTTCCCTCGAACACGTTTACCAAATTAATTTCTTACTTCTTTTATTATTACAAGCATGGCCATTTTGTAAACATCAGGGAAATCGGTTTTAAAGTTTCCTAAACAAATTGACATTTACAAAACATTTTTGTTTCTTCTTTCATGCCATCTATTAAACAAACATGAACCATTAAACAATTCATACCTAAATGTGGTCTCTTTTGGTGCTCTCCCAAAGCACTTAACAGCATCTAGTCCTAATCCCAACTGTCACTGTTACAAGTTTTTCAAATGCACATATTTCCCTTAAATTTCTTCATCTGATTTAAAGAGATTATTGGGACACTGGCAGATTTTGCTGGTAGAAGAAACCATTCTGTGGTGTACCAGTACCGGGAAGGACCAATCTCCATCCTAGGCTGACATGACCAGCACAGCATGTCTGTTACACAGGCTACAAGTTTCCAGGAAAGACACTCAGTGTGGAAGAACTCCATTGCTCAGATCAACTATCCAGACATCAGGCTGCTATGATTTGGAAATGTAATTTGTAGGACAAGCATTCATATTTATTTTCCAATTTATAAGTGGAATTTGCCGGGCTGCTTAAAAAAAAACCCAACCAACATTCTTATTTAAACTCTGAAAAGCAGCCTAGTAAAAAAAAAAAGAAAGAAAAAAAAATCGAATTTGTTTCTGTTCCCTAATCATAAATACTCAAAGTTCTGCAGGCTGCCCCTATGTTGCTTGCAGCCAGCACCTTATTTGAAAACTGTGATTTTAATTAGGCATTTAGACAAACACACATTTCTGAGGACATACTTTATAACCTGTACAAACTTTTTTAACAGGTACTATTTTGCTCTCCTGGGTTCATAAACTTTTGGGAGGGAGAAAAGAGAAAACTGACCTCTCCTTCCTCTCCCTGTTATATCACAAAATCTGTAACATTCTCTTGTTTTTCCAAGATCCTTTAGAAGCCTCTTGTTCCCTTCTTCCAGATGGAAGACTATGGAACAAAGTGGTCATTATACATTTTATACATTAACACTCTAAAATTCTTTCTCACTGGGGTAATACTGATTTCCCTCTTACCTTCAAAGAAAGAAGGAGGAATTAAAAAATGGGGGAGGGTGGGGAAATTGAAAGAAAAAGAAAAATCCTATTGCACAAGCTTCAGTCTCTATCTGGTGGCCAGAGAGCAACACTGCACCCTCAGATCTTCCTAAAGATATGCTTGTATTTCAAGAGTGAGACAAGAAACTACTTTCCTTACAATCATTTATGTCAGTAAATACTCATCACATTCTGACCGGTCCACACTTAGGCCTCAGTGGAAACAGCTCAGTTACCTGGGATGGCACCATGATGAAGATTATGAGTGAAGAACGGAAATCTGGTTTCCTTACCTATTCACCAAACACACAGGACATAGTGCTAAGAAGCAACCTTTAATTAGTCTAAACAAAGAAGAATCTAATAAACAGAAAAAAGGGCAATCGAAAGCCCACTCAATGCGTTTGAGACAAAATGTGTTTTAAGGGAACTATGACTTTAATTCAGGTATATTATTTTAAGTGGCACTGTCCTTGAGGTTTCTTCAGTTTAAACTGAAGAAACAAACAACATATTTCTCTCCCTTTGGATATACACTTTGTATATCCAGATGACACTGTTCCTTACTAAATGCATTTTACTTTGATTTCAGGAAATTCTAAGCACATATATATTCTGTTAATGGAATGCTTTAATTCAGGTTTTAGTTTTAAAAAGAAAGGATCTATCACTATCTACGTTCACTTAAAAAAAAAGGATGAGAAATTCTGCTTGCATATAGTACATGTTCCATTTTACAAACAGAATAAATCATGAGGATTTTAGCAAGAATCCAGTTGTAATAGCCTACTTAATAGACTTCCATATTGAAGAACTAAATGGACCAAACACATCTCCTATGCCCCTTGCTATTCAAAAACCTTCTTGCATCACCATAATATAGGACAGGAAGTCAACACTAATCCCATATGGTGGTGAGCAGCCACATAATAGATGATGTCTCCAGAGGGTCAACAAAACAGATGTTTAGTTTCTATAACCACAAGCCATAGTAACACACTCATAATACACAGTAAACTTCAGGTTTTTAGAAAAATGGCCAAAGAGAAAAAAGCTTATGTGCCAGAGAACAAAACAAGATAAATCCAGCACTATTCTTCAAACTAACTGTTCTCAGAGCCAGAACTGCATGGAGGTAGGGACAGAATTTCAGTTCAATTACTTTTTCATCACTGCCTGAGCATTTCCCTCCTATCCCAGCTTCCTTCCCCAAATAAATAAGGTTGCTGAATAAAAGTAAGAAACAGGGATGCTTAAAATTACATAAATAAATAAAAATAGCAAGAAAAGAAGGGTCATCTGCCAAGATTTCATCCTGATTCAGCCTAATCATTTTAAAAAGGAGTAGTGGAGAGTAAGACAAAGGTAATGAAAAACCCCACTCTGAAACTCTTATTGCCAGAGGATAAAAACATATTTTTCTAAAATATATCTGAAACAGATGGAAAGTGAAAGAAATACTTTCACTGAAACCAACTGCATGCTCACATTCACTGCAGATGCTGGTGAAGTCTGACCATCACTAATAATAATGTTGCTGATTAGATAGCTGAAGTAACTGAACTGAAGGATTTGCTACTGCCTGCTAGAACACACTGACTTCACAATCAATAAAATCTCTGGCCAGCATCTGGTTGGCAAAACCTAGAATTCTGCAGGTGATAAATGACCTTAGATACATATAGAGACAGCTGTTCAGCAGTCAGCCTGACTTTTAAATTCCAGGTACTTTGTGAAAGCTAAATTGCTGGAATTTGTTACCAAAATCTGGCCAGGAATCTCACCTCAACTTCTTCATCAAGTAAATCAATCCTCTAGTCTTTTGTACGTAAAGTTTCAGGCAGTCTGAGTTTCCACGATGAAGATAAACATTTGCACAGCCCAAAAGAAATACTTGTTTGAAGTTCTGAAAACTTTTAAGCTCTTATCTCATATTCGCATCAGGCCATGCTGAACTCTCAAGATGCAACCAGTTGAAACTGGATGAAGAAATATTACTGTTTGTTAGTGCTAAAGAAGAAAGGTTCCACAGATCTCATCTCTTCTACTCACTCCAGGCTGGATGCTCTTACTGCTTTCCTGAAACTGTTTGACACTCATCAGAGAGGTGAGACCACACAACCAAGAGCAAGACCCCATCCTAGCAGCAGGCCTGGCACTTTGTGAATCACAGATTTAAAGTAAACAGAATCCAACGGTTTTCAGGAAACAAAAGCCTTAAGCCTAACTACTGAAGAAAAAATAAAAATAATAAAAAAGGACGGAGCTGGAAGTTTTTAACTGTAATTTAAGACCTCATAAATAAGTGAAAAACAAAGCAATCTGGCCAGCTTTGAAGCATCTTCCCAATATTTGTTCCTTGCCAATGATGAGATGAGGTTCTATTGACCATAGCCACAAAGCAATAGGTGCAAGAAAAGATTATGTAAATAGTATTTTAAGGGTAACGTGTAATATAAATACACATAATTTATACAACTTTAATATAAATTGACATTACTGTGTCCCAATCTTTAATCAGCAACTGTGAATGATTCATAAAATACCAGAATATGGTCTGCAAGCCATTACAAATTAAAAAAAAAAAAAAAGCAGGACAGAACAGGAATAAAAACAATAAATTAACATTCAAGGCCTTGCTTCCCCATTATTTGGTTATGAATGAAAATCATTAGAGGAACTTGAACAAGACAATACTTCTCGGAAAAGGGAGTCAGGCCTCAGTAAAAAGAAAGCCACAAAAATAACCTGAACAAACATACTATGTCAGATCATCTCTGCTATTTATCAAAATGACATTGTTTACAGAAAATGCTGCTCTTCTACATGCTAAAACTTAACAGCTACTCTTAGCAACTGACAAGCAGTATCCTTGAGCATCTTGCTGCAGCCTAAAGAAATTTACTTTCAGCGAGGAACTACTTGCTATCTATTCTTTCTATAAAACTTCAGCATCTCAAAAGCTGACATTTCATCGCGGCTTTTATTTTCAAGCAATTAAATCTTGCCTGGATTTGGACAAAATACTTTGTTTCAAAGTTCAGCAAATGTAACAAACGAGAAAGTAACCTTTATAGCATTTGTATTCTCAGCTCCTTCGATGAAAGATACACTCTAAAATACGTAGTTATTAAACAGGGGGGAGTTTATTGAACGATGGGAATACTGAGGAGAGAGCTGGCTTTCCCAGCCAAAGGCAGTTTCCCGAGGCAGAGCACCGCCTTGCAGAGAAGCAGGCAATGCAGTGCGGCGCTCTGGCCGGCAGATGGTGGCTGGAGCTCGGGAAAGAATTCTGACCGGCGCTCCCAGCATAATCATCGCCGAGCCTGGGAGCCTCCTCGCCCGTTTCACTGACCCACCATCCGGCCACTAAATGGACAAGGAGCACTCTCGGGAGCAAAGGGGCTGGCGACTCGCTATTAAGCAACTGTTGGACGCTTGCACCTAAATGGGCTACTTCTACACTGTGGAAACCGGTGGCACCAAAGATGAACCTATGGTCTAAGTTGCTGATGACCACCACTGCATTAGGAAATATGGGAAACTGAAGCTCAGAGACCTAACGTCTGTTTGGATGCAAGGCACTGCATTAAAAAGACCCACCCTTTAAGAATTATACTTCTTGTATCCACCAAAAGTCACCTTTTTCTTACTCCTATTTTTCACGGCTATATCAGATCAATCTATCAAGCTTCTAACACCAGATATTCAGCCTATTCTTTTTGCTGTCCCAGTTAAAAATACAATGTTAAACTATACGTATTTGAAAACACAGGACTATGTCACTTTATGTGACTGAAGAGAGGCTGCCATTACTAAAAGTTTAGTCTGACACTAGAAGCTTTAGAAAACAGACAAGCACATAGCAGAAAGAGTTACTGGTGAGGAGGTTCCAACAGAGGAATAAACCAACTGCATGAGGACAGTTCAGAAAATTATCTCTGTGAGAATTTCTTGGAATTGACATATACAGAAGAGAACTACTTTTATCAAGGACAAGCTGCAGCACATTCAAGGCAATACCCCGAATGAAAAGGATTCCTGTAGAAATGTCATAAAGAAAGAATCTGTGAGATGTACATATCATTTAAACATGAAAACCTAGACGGTATGCAGATTACAGCTGGAGCAGAAGGTAAGATGGTAGTCCACAGCAATGGAGAAACAGAACACAGAACAAAGCCTTCAACAATAGAGGGTCATGTCTTTCATAAGAAAAAAAAAATTAAGAGTTATGTTTTAATCAAGATGAACTAGAGCTGACAAAAGGGCTATTGAAAGAGAAAGAATAAGTTTTTGCAGAGACAAGGACTAGAGCAGATGATCTGACTTTCTGCCATAGAGATGTTAGCTGTATTTGGTGTTGCAGATCAGACTAACTAGTGCAAAGACAAAAAGCCACTGAGACTCCTCAGCAGAGGCTCATATAAAACCTCCATGCCAACCTGGAGAACTCTTTATGGGCCTTGCTGATGGGAAAAGCACAATAACTCACAGGAGGAAAGAGTCCCGAAAAGCAAGTAGTCAGAAGACTTCAAAAAGTTGACCACTGTCAAAGTCAGGGATCCTTGAAAGCAGCTCACAAAGGATAAAGGAGTAACAATTCTGAGCTGCTTAAGCAGAGAACTATTAAGACTGCAATGCAATTACAGTAAAATATGATGACAGAATAATGGAGAAAAACCAAAACAGAACTGGAAAAGACTTAGGTGCGAAGACAGCTTGAATAGCATTATCAAGGTGGCCAGCTGATCATTTCTTCATAGGGGTAACTTCCTAGATCCAACTACAGCTTTTTCCCTGCATTTACATCCTCATTTCAGTGGGCTGCCTTCTTTGGTCAACAACTCTTGGCTATTCTCCAAAAACTATTCTTCAGCTTTCTATTCTTCATGTACCATTTTAAAGCCATTGTGACAACAAACAGCAACTGATGGCGTTATGTCCTGAAGTGCTTTGATTTTGCTGTTTGGTTTAAAAACATGAACAACTAAGCACTGATGTACACTAAAACTCACAAATACGATGCCAGATCATAGTGCTCAGATAAGCACCCTGAAGGGTTTAAGGAACACAGTAACTCTTCTTAACTGGCTGACTGATACCCTAACCACATTGTGGAGGTTATGAGGAACCTTTAACCTAAAAAAAGTCACACCAAATACCTCTGTAGATTTCTCAAGCTAAATACCATTATATATGAGCAGATTTACTCTTCCTACTGAGTGGCTCTCATGAAAGTAAAAAACATTCTTTGCCAGCCTTCACAGAGCCCTCCCTAGTCATTACAGATCTCCAAATCCTAGTATCAAATATCCTGGCACTTAGCTTGACCATTCCCATCCTCTCTAATCCTTCCCTCTTTCTGCATAAGTGCTCTCCTACAGAGCAATACCAACAGAGTATATCTCTTGGTGGTAGATTTATCTACTGAACCCATCTTGAATACAAGGAATAGACCTGAATCTGCTAGCAGCAAAAGGCAACACACTCCATCATCTTTAAGTGGAACATGCCTTATCATCCTGCGCCAAATTTTGAAGCTGTGACTTAAGAGAATCCAGAATTTTAAGCTTTGAAACATATCTGAATTTTAAGCTTTGAAACATATCTGAATTCACATCTCCACAACTGGGCTGTGCCATTTTTAAGGAAGCAACAGAATAATCTCTTACACAGGACAATACTACTTCAGCAGTTCTAGCAACAAAAAAGCAGCATGGAAGAAATACTAATTTCAACAGCTAAAAAGCATCCATGATCAGCATAATCCCTGTGGTCATTTTACCTCTTTGCAATACTAAGTAGTAAATTAGTAGTAGCAAAACCCCAATAATCACATAGCTTTAGATTTTGCTTTTTCTGTCAAATAAAGTGGATCTTCCTTAATAAAGCATCTTTCATGCAAACCTCTCTATTCCAAATACACTGAACAGTGACTCTGCTTTAAAACACTGTCCATTAGAATAAGTAATAAACAACCACATTCTAACATCAAACAATCCTGAAAGAAAAAGCAACCTAACAAAAAAATAATTAAAACTCTTTCCAACTTTCTATTTGGACTACCTTTCTCCCCTCTCGTTTAATAAATGTTAGAAGTAGAATAATCACAATAAATATGTACCAGAAACTTATTCATCCACCCATCCTTGAAGAGTCAAGACTTAGTTAGTTAAAAAAACAAAAAACAAAACCAAACAAAAAAAAACGCACCAAAGCAAACCACAAAAATATATGCCCTGATCTTTAACTTATGAGTATACAATGTATTTAGAGAAAGAAATGTTACATCTAGAATTACTTGTTATCACTTACCTGGTTTGTTAACGTTAGAGGTTGCTGAATCTGGTCAGCATACGATAAGGCAGAAACCTGTTGGTCATTTATGTTCTGCTGACGACGATCACTGTACTGCTGATGCGAATGGGACATCTGTCCAGCCATCTGAAGGCCAGCAGCATGGAATGAAAACGATGGTGCAAGCCGAACAGATGAAGGTTTGCATGCTGAAGTCTCTCCTCCTGCAAAGACAAGGTGAGTTTTTAATGCAGTTAGTGACTTGAAAATACCTACCTCAGTTAGCCTCCCTCTCCTAGCTTACAGAGCTTATAAACACTAATAGTTTCACTGTTTCAACATACACAACAAATCCAGAAATCATCCTCATGTAATTATTACCTAGCTGAAATGCTTCTTCCCATTTCATTGTGATTATTTATTAATCATTAATTCCTATTTGTCTCTTTCCTAACATCTGTGTCATAACTCAGAATTTGTCAGGGGTTATTTTCAAAGATATGAATTTTGTGTATGGATTCCATGAAAGCCAGAAAAAACACGCAAGTTCTGCCTTTTAAGGTTGCTCAGAGCAACTTTCTGGACTGCCTGTACCAAAAGAAAAAAAAAAGCTAGTGCCCAGCCTCAGCAGCTCATCTTCCCTGCCTCAGATGTTTATGTCTTCCAACAAACCACTTAGCTCACTAGCCTACACTGCCTACATTTTTAACTTCCACCCTTCTTCCAACGCACACTGTACTCAGCTTCTTGACTCCTACTGCCGAGTTTACCAAGCTATAGGTAGCAAGCACGGTAACTAATTCCTTTTGGGGAAAGTGAAATTAGACTGCAAGAAGTAACTGCAAAGCAAGAGACAAATAAAATACTTGGTATCAAGTTGCACAAGAATGGCAAACCATATAGCTAAAATACTAGATTCCATAACATCCTGAAAAATGCCAAATTCCACAGGCAAAGAATCTGACACTAACTAGGACAGATCCTGCACCTCTCAGCTCTTGTTTCAGACATCTGTCAGATAACATTTTATTGGTTCACAGTCTACTTGTATCTTGATTTTTCCTCTAACAATGGAGGACAGAGTAAAGTACAATTTGTTTTTCTTTGTTCACTAATGAAAGTTCAGAACATTCTACATTTAACACACATCCTTTCGGTTTCTGATGACTGCTCCAGAGGGACGACATTCTCTACATGGTTTCATGTTGGTACAACATAGAAGACAAGCCACAAGGCACACTGCACCCAACATCGCCACTGAAGGAATACATGTGGAATCAGAAGCTGAAATCTGGAAGCAAAATTACTGCTGAAGACTGAATTTAGAAGCCAGATGTAAAAAAATCAAGCACCTAACCAGCAAGGGACATCCCAATTTCCCTTACAATCTAAATCTTGCAAGAAAATATAATCAGCAGAAAAATATATAAACAACACTCATCAATTCGACTTTTAATTTTGACTTTTCACTATTATATTAAGAGGGCTGAAGTAAAAATGTGTGATAAATACCCACTGACAGACCACTGGTATTTTACTCCACTGTTACAATTCAATACTTCTGAAAGACCAGCAGAACAAGCTACTCCAGAAAATGAACTGGTTGCCCACAAGCACCCAGTTATTTTCACAATATTTCATTAGATCATCAAACATTTTACTTAAGAGGGAAAAAAATAAAGGGGGGGGAGGGGTATGGATAGAAAACCCATACCCAAACCTTCATGAAGTAACTATGATAGCTGAAAACTTTTTTTGTGTGCATTTTGGTGACTCTGGTGACACAAAGTATCAAGATGACCTTATAGGTGGAAAAAAAAAGCTCCTGACCTAAAACTCTTATAAACTAAGTCAACACTGCACAGAAAATTACTCTAACTCTTCTGTAAAACATCCATTAAAAACTGCTTTGTGATTTTGAACACAAATACAGATCCTACTAAGCTCAGAAACTGTCCTCTAATATTTAAAGAAACAGTGAAAATATCAGTTAAATGTCTGAGTGTAAACGTTTAAAAATACTTGGATCTTTTTCTGTTTTGGTGTTTCCAACTAACATCTTATGTTCACCTGTGAATCGGGCAACAGACTGTTGCCTTCTTTTTGAAATTTAAAATTATATAATATGAAATTCACAAGTTTACATTTAAATACAGGGGAAAATATGCACAAAGATTCCAATGCATCAACTCTTCTCTCTCAAAGATACCGTGGTTCCTTTATATATTAATGCATGTCAGACCATGTAAAAACCGTAGATATGCTTTTTTTCTCACTACTGTATTTTCTTAAAATCTAAATTCTATTTTTACTAGAGAATTAATCATCCATCTATACTACTTGGTAAATATAGTGTACATTTACTTTTCAAGACATGCTGAACAGTCCTGCAAGAATGGGTGAATACATGTAAGACATTTGCTGGCATGTCTACTTTTTGCCTTTTTAATTTCTGCTGATTTTCTGCTTAACCTGAAACACAAATAATCTCACTTATCAACATCTTGGTGATTGAAAAGTCAAAACAATATTTACATTGGACAGTCAAAAATCACCATTAATTCTAAATTGTTGAGCCAATTACTTTAAAAGTTTTATTTCTTGCACTTTTTTTTTTACCTCAGGCCACAGGTTCCCAGCAGCATATGAGATGTCAAGCAACTTAGGTATCAATTAAAATTAAAAAAAAATTAAAAGTTCTGCACTTGCACATGTCCCTAAAAAAGCAGAAAGCTCCCATATATGCACGCAGAAATCCCAGTAGCGGGGAGTTCTCACTTACAATTTGACTTCACAGGACTAGAAGTATAACTATTCCACAAAAGAGCAGTTGCAATACCAACGTTTCAGTTCAACTTGCAACTTTCTGTTCTTGCGCACTCTTTTCTCCCAAGTCCACTAGCAGGGCTATAAAGCTGTAGCTTTCCTGGTCTTCCGAACTGATGATCATCAGCTGGATCAGGTCAGTTAGTTCAACATCCATGCCTCAGAAAAGAGAGCTTCGTAATTTGTAACAAAGCAGAATCACAATGAAAGCTTCTATAAGAACCCCAGTTTGATAAATAACTTATTTTATTCATTCAACTCAATTTTTCAGGTTTTTGTTTTATTTTTTTTTTAGATTAAATGTTTGTGATTAACAAGCAGTTATCTATCTACTTGGAGGGAAGTCACAACCTATGATGCCAATACACATAAATCACAACTGTACTCAACAAGGAACTTATTCTAAACTACTGCTTTTGTTTCACAGAGCAGTACTGAATTCAGAAAGGGGGACATTATTAAACACAAGAGTCTGACTAGAGTCGCATGATGTGAAGTCTGTTACAAGCAGGTGGATGGAAATTGGCTACTTCATATAGCATGTTCTTATACCAAACAGAATGGCATTTTAATAGTCTCTTTGAAGATGGGGGTACCAACCCTCAGCCATGTTAGCAGTAACCAAGAACTACCTGGGTCAAAAGTTTAAAACTGTAACTACAAGGCTCTGAAAGAACAGTAATTTTCACATTTATGACTTCTGACTGTCACGGAAACAGAGACACAGGAGTTCACAGTCTTCTGTTGCCAAAAGCAATCTTAGCTATCAACAAAAACAAGCAGAGTTCAGGATATGATCCCTGATGAAATACTTGCCCTTGCCACATTTCAGACTTTATTCCATGATACCTGCAATCCTACTCCAGGACAGCTAGTCCCAAGAGAACACTCATAACTTACTATTATGAGACAAGAAACTCCTAATGACACATTAGGAAGAAATAAGGGGAGAAAGAAGAATTGGCTAGAATAGCAATCTTGACCTCCTTTTGTTTTAGGTTGAGGAGTCAGTCAGCTATAGAAATAGGAACATTTGTGTAGGTCCATTAATTGATATTCACAAAACTGCTGGTTGAAGTTAATTGGGAGGGCCAATAGATCAAAAAAGTGACCTACTGACCACCATGGGAGTTCCACAATCCACAGGAGCTCGATGCCCCGCCACATCTAAAACTTCTACAGGAAAAACTATCTAAGGAACAAGGTCTGTTCAATCATCAATCTTTCTTTCTAACCACTGTAAGTTTAAATTATTATATGTTGTGAAGCACCCTGGGAAGGAAACAAAGTGACAGAAGTCAAAAAGTATGTCAAGATCTCTATGCATGATGCACATTAAGGGAAGAGATTACAGATTAGAATGGGTAAATTATCTTTCAAATGGCCCTTTCCTAATGTGTTAGTTCAGAAAATAGCATAAAAATATGCACCTTTATATATTATTGTAAACTGTTACAACTTGAAGTACAAATAACATTTATTTGCCCATGATAAGACCAAAACTTGTCATAAAGAAGGTCCAGCTACAGAGTACATCCCTTATTTCAGCCTTGAAATTTCCTTTTTCTCCTATGTTCATGAACATAACAGCCCTTCTGAAATTAAGCTGTTCAGAACCTTCTATTTCATTAGGGACATTGCATACACAGTAATACAAGCAAAATGTAAATGGCAGCAATAGTAACTTCTTGGCTTTTATAAATTTACTGTCTCAGGAAAGTTAGCAAGTGAGGAATAAGTCATCATCACCACAATGCTACACTATTGTTTGAGCAAACTGCTGTTAACTACAACCAGAAGAAAATGTTTAAAAGGGGACCAACAGCACAGGTGTAATGATAGAGAAAACTTAAATTCTAACTTCCAGTTGGGTTCATAACTCAGAGCCATCCAAAAATACAGACACTGCAAAAATGGACTGCCCTGACATATGGAAGGACGTAGGGTTTAAGAGCACATGTTCAAGAATATATTTCTTTATTAGGTGAGGATGGAAAATACTTCCCTCATTCAAAATAGCTTTGTTTAAATGACTTTTCCAACTACCAAAGAAATCTGTATTTTGAAGTAGAAAAATACTTGAGATGGTACTTATTGAACAGTCTACAAATGAACTACAGATGGGTTTAATATAGCAAAAATTTTGGTAAGACTTTGCATAGATTTTTGAAAACTCAATGCAGTTTCAAAAATCAATTTCCTACCTCATCCATTTTAGATTCTGTTATTCCCATTTTGATATTAGTCTTATAATATCTCATAACTCATTTAGGCATCACCTATTCCCAAAATACCATAAGGCAAGCAACTGATGCAATGCATTTCCGGCCTTCTCCTTTCAACATAAAGCAAGGCACAGATATTCACCAACTGACAGTAAAGAGTTGCTGGTGACAAT